TTATTTGGGTGCATATAAATATGTTTTTACAAAAGAAATGTATACGTTTACTATGAAATAGGTGTTTGTATATATTTTTATAAATATGTGTTTGCATACAAATGTATTTATAATAAAGTAAGTGTTTGTATACATTTTTCTGTAAAATACATGTCTGTATATATATTATTTAAAAAAACGGATTTGTATATATTTATGTACACAATAAATACCTATTTTTCTAAATAGGTATTTCGTATACAAAAAGAAGTTTTTTTATAACTTTTATATAGAAAATATAAGATTTTTTATGTGAAATATGTTTTTTTGTATAAATATGATTTTATAAAGAAAAAACATATTCGAAACAAAATTTTGAGAAAAGAAGTTGTAAAAACAACTAAATTTAGGATGAATTCATAACAAAATTCTAAAATTTGGGCCAAAATGGTAAATTTTAGACCAAATTTGTAATAAAATTTAAAATCTGAGCCAAAAGTGTAATTTTTTTACCAAATTTGTAATAAATTTTGAAATCTGGGCCAAAACTGTAACTTTTGAAAGTTGGATGACCTGTTGTCCGGATAAAATGGTTAAATTGAATACGATTACCAATTTTTAGGACTTAATCGAGTAAAAAAAATATAAGGACTAAATCGATTATTAGGTCAATATATAAGGACTTTATTGCAGTTTTCTTGAACATTTCTTTTAATAAACTTTTATCCCTTTGGAAGTTCTTGAGCATTTCTTGTTCTTACTTCTTTCTTAGTCACATTAAAATAGTGCAAAATGTGTTTTAAAAGAAATATATCCATATTGTTGCATAAATGATGATTTATGGCGTTGTTTATAAATATATGTTATATATCATTTTACTATTTTTCAACTAAATTGTATGTTTGTGCAAATCACACTTCACAATCCGGTTTATTTTGATTGATTAACAAACATAAAACGACAAGTAAATTAATTTTTTGACAAACAACTTAAAGTTTGTTGCACTCCGTAAGAATTGATAATTCAAAGAGGTCGAGTGAAAAATTAAAGTAAAAATCCAACTCGAATCAAGACTTTGATATAACCCGCAAAGAAATTTCATTATAATCAACAAGTTATCTAATATTATTTCGAGTTTTAAAACACAATCATTTTATATATTATGTCTCATCCAAATAAACATCATTATCTAACATTCCCAATAACATTTACAAACGTTAATATTTTCAGGGAGTAGTCCTTCATGGAAACATTCTGCTGCAATATACGGATTATGCCTTTCCCCACAAGCATCCCAGCAGTCCACCGATACTCGTGGCCCATCACACAAATTCGGTTGCATCGGTATTAATTCAGAGCATGCTTTACGACCCATTATTGGTGTCATCATTTCGACTGCAACATTAGGTAAAAGAGTACATATTAAGGCTTCAAACGCTTTTTGATAATTTCTTTTGAATTCTATAAATAATTAATGTGTTATATATTGTTAGAATCATAACGATTATGCATTTGAATATATTATTAACATGTTTGACACAAATGATTAACCATGTTTTTTTACTTCACTAATTTGACCCATGAGAGATAATAATAACTCAAATCAATACCTGATAAGACGAGGGCTACGAGAAGCACCACATTAAACACAACAATTGCCATGGATCGTGCCATTATAAGCTCGTGGAATAAGAAACAAACAAATCAATTGAGCTAATTCAAATGAATATTGAAAATGTCTCAACGAATATATAATGAAAATTTAAATGTGGCAGGATAATTTTTAATTAATGATATTAAACGTATATATTAATTTGTCAAAAACACATTTCTACGTTTCATTAATAAATTGTCCATATTTAAAGCAATTAAATCATGTTAAGAGTTTTCAATTAATGCAATCAAATCATTTTTTGAATTTTTAATTAATGTAATCATATAACCCAAAGGGCTTCCAGCCCAGCGGTATCAGGTGTTGCTCTTTCTCTTTGAGGTTGAGGGTTCAAGTCTCGTCGGAAATATAGGTGAATTTAGGAGTAGTTTAGGATTATACTGTATTGTCATTCAAAAAAAAGTTAATGCAATCATATCATTTAATATTTTGATGAAAACTAGGTGTTATTTCATTTATGGTATTTTGAGTTTTAGTTGTATATATTTAGATGGAGATTTGGATTTATTTTGTAAAATAAAAAAAAATAAAAAATAAAAAACACGGTTTTGCATTGGTAGTATTGTGACCATGCTCAAACATGGAAATTCGAAACCCTCAAAGCATCAAGCTTTGTAGTTATATATATTTTTAAAACATTTGCATGAAAAAAAATGGAATATTTATATTTATCGTAATAAAAAATGACATATCGTAATTCATAAAACAAAAAAAATTAAATGAAATCAATGAAAAATAGTTTCATCATTTAGATTCCAAACCAATTTTTTGATGAATTTACAAACCAGATGGAAACCAACAACCAATTAATTTGAAAACTTTAATTTATTTTTAAATATTTTAGCAAGCAAAACACATGTGGTGGATTAAGGTAGGGGTGTCAGATCGGACAGTCGTTTAGTGTTTTTATCTGACACGACAAGACACGATTTTTTTCCCTAATCCGAACAAGATCGGTTCTGAGGATTCAAATGCCCAGGACGAGGTGGATAAAAAATGTCTTTGGGCCTTAACGTGTAACGAATTAAATTATATAAACTAATTTTTTATTAAAATGACGATAAACTTTATAGCAATAAACAAAGCAAAATCATAGTATTTTAATGAGTAATTACATATCTTAACAGTTAACCGACGATCTGTGAAACTCTCCTCACATTCTTGATTACAAATTGGTTGATCAACTCTTAATAGTCTATACTCTCTAAGGTTTCGTTCTCGATAGATATCATTGCCAAACCGCTAAGTCTTTCTTGGGTCATTGTGGAGCGTAAGTAAGATTTCACAAACTTCAATTTCGAAAAACTCATTTCTGTAGATGCAACCGTTACTGGAATAGTCAACAATATTCTATATGCAATGTTTGCATTTGGGAAATAATCAAGTTCTTTCAAAAACTTCAAAACATCTATAGGGTTGCTAAATTCATTGGTTTCCAATATCTCAAATCATTTCAACTTCGTATAAAGTTCCTCGGCATCAATATTCGATCTTTCTTTAAACTTGAGTGTTTTTTCAAGACGATGACAATACGACTTAAGATCTTTATATTCATTTCTTGTCAAATTATGTGGAAATAAAAAAAAACCAAATACTTTGTCATACTCTTTGAATTGTTCAAATCTTGTCTCAAGAGAAGAAATAATTTGATCAACAATGTATAAGAAATAATTGACTCTAAAATTCTCTTCAGGTGTAAATGAAACTTCTTCTCTAGTTGAACTCTCATCAAACCTTTTGTTTCCTTTCAATCAAACGCTTTTGTGGAAATATTGGATCAATGTCGATTTCAATAGCAATCTTTTTAGCTTCAACAATCGCTTTTGAAAAACCAGTTTCTCTATAATCCTTGAAGTACTGTAACGCCCCATTTCTGGTATGTGATTTAAATAAAGTAATTTTCATTTTCTTAAGGGATACTCGAC